TGGGGAAAACATACATAACACAGAATAAAATACATTGGACTAATGACAGCAACAAGAAACAGCTGGTAAACACAGGGATTCCACACGAGGTAGATGGGAGGCGTGGCACACGGAAAGAGTGGGGCATGACAAAGGGCGACAGCGTGGAAACTGAACTCCGCCATCTTGCCACTCCAGCGCATTCATAAATGCTAAGCACCGCCCCAGTCCAACTTTTGACAAGGATGGTGTCAATCATCGTTTTCTTGATATCACCAGGGCGACACAGGACACACCTGAAAAACAAACACACGTGCCCTCTACAGGCATGTAACATCCTCCCACATAAATAAGCAAACCCGAGTTTGCAACACAAAACAAGGCACAATTAAACACGAGATAATGCATCAGCTATTACATTATCAGAGCCCTTCTTATGGCGAATGTCTAATTTGTAATTTTCAGCAACCAAGGCCCACCTCATTAACTGTTTGTTGTGATTATACATCCGTGATAAGAAGGAAAAAGGTGGCAAGCCTGCTGTGGGTGTGGGATTTTTGGATGACCTCCCAAACAACCAATAATAAAGGAATGGTTCTCAGCTCCAGTCCAGGGAATCAACTGTTGTTGGCCGATTAAGAGGCCATCCCAAAAACCTGCACCCACTGCGACTCTCCAGGGATCAGTTTCTTCACCCCTGGACTAGTGTAATAAGTCCAGCTGTACTGTTGATTTTACTTTGCCCATTGCATGTTCAAGTATAAATTTGGCATCACAATAAGACTGCAATGAGATCTAACTAAATAAAATAACAGCTCTGGTGAAAGTGATTTTTTTGAAGTGACACAAGACACAGATATCTTACTATACAGCATGCAGGTGACAGTAAGTTAGCCAATTTAAGATTTGTTAATTTTTTCATCAGATATTTTTATTAATCAGAATTTTGCCGATTCACACAACCATGATTGCATAATGTAATATAAATAAAAGACATAACATCACAAAGATTCATGATTCACACATTGAATATTCCCAGTTTTATGTTAAAAATCACACTTCATCCTTATAAGGTTTATATTTATACATTTCTAGGAATCCACAACTGATGTGTGAGACATATACAAACTGCAAATCAGCAAGAGGACTTTGGAAGATACACAGGATGCTGGAGGAGAAGCTCTAATTAAACACCAATATGACTTTAGCTTCAATTCTGCTGATCTTGTGGTCCTCTGTTCCAGCTGTGAGATTTTACATGCACCGCTGCTTCTTTGGCTAATTTTCTTGGCAGGGATGCAGCTGCTCTCTAGTGGTGCATCATTTTCCTCGATGAGATCTCTGCTCACAGAGAAATCTTTGAAATTATAGGGATGTAAAAAATGTTTTTCTACTCTATGGTGGACAACTGCTGTGTATTAAATGAGTTTGTTAGAAGGCAATCAGATGATCTCCACAAGTTTAGCATCTGTGTATTGCAGGTGGCTCAGTTTGCTTGTTATATAGCTTCATCTGTTGTAATGCTGATTTGCTTTAATCAGATCAACAGAAGATGCAATGAGCTTGACTCTCCATACTACATTGGAACACCTTAAAAAGCTGAACATGTATGTCAGGATGCCTTTTTTCACTTTAGTTTGGCCCCCACTGCTCTGGTGTCCAAACTCCACAACCCAGGCCTAAGCACAATCATCTGCCCCCCAGAATGTTATCTTCTAACAGATCCTCCATTCTTATCCTGAACATTGGTGTTCCGTTGGGATGTGTGTGGAGCCCTATATTGTATGCCCTCTTCACCTATGACTGTCTACTTTCCTACACAACGAACACCATATTTTGTGAATGATATGACAGTCAATGGGTTGATTTGAAACAACAATGACCCTACATACAGGGACCAGGTGCAACACCTGACAGATTGGTACTCCACCATCAATCTCATCCTTAACACCACTTAGACTTCAGGAAGAAGAATGACAGGCATGACAGGTAGTGTGTGTATGTATATATGCATGTATGTATGTATGCATGCATGCATGCATGCATGTATGTATGTATATATTTATCCTTGTCCTTAAAATGACCCAAGAGACAGTCAAAGAGAAGAAATACCGAGATAATTATGGAAAAAATGTGTGGAATGGCACTGTCACACTCGGATGTGGGAGCCTGGTGGAGCCCCTGTATGAGGTTAATTACTCCAGGAAGGAATTTCAGGAATTCTGCAACACTTAACAGTACTAACAGGCAACACGCCATAATGACCATAGAAGCAGCCAGCCACTGAGACCCATTCTCATTTGATTCTTTGTGCTGGATCAAGATTTGATCCAAAATTTGCCAGTGGCACTTCGGTTGGCTTTCTGTTGTTTGGCTTGGCTTGCACCACTATTATATTTACTTGTGTTTGTACTTATTCTTTTCTCTATTTTGTGTTTGCTTTAGTTATACAGTAAAATCCCGTTATTGTGGACTCGCTTATAATGGAATATCGTCTATAACGGATGAGGTCCGCTGGTCGCGGCTGTGCGCCTTTACGAACATGCAGAAAAAGCATTGGATATAGCGGACTCGCATATAACGGAATTTCGCTTATAACGGGCAAACAATTTGGTCCCCAGGGCCGCTTTTGGCTGTAGTTTTGTTCGACTATAAAGGTGTGTGGCATGCCAGTGATACCCAGTGCAGATATGTAGTCGGGATTATTAATCAGAATCACGCATCTGGTCAGGTAAAGTTGGATTACTACATGTACGATATAATAATCTATCCCACAAGTGTGTCTGCTGGGGTGTGACATAAGTAAATGGTGTCCTGTAGCTGTGTTCTGGGCATACAACAACTCTGGATATAACGGACTGTTTTGCCAGGTCCCTTGAAGTCCATTATAACTTGATTTTACTGTAATGTATAACAAAGTATTATTTTTTTTCTGGCCAGTATTGCCTGTTGATAGCTCATTGTCTGACCATGTGTAACAGGAGAATTTCCCAAATGTTATTTAATGTAATTGACCTTAGATGGTTGCATTTACCAAAGCCCCTCCATGACAAATGGAGACATGTATTGACTACAACCACGTACCGAAAAACACCAAATGTTACCATATTGCCTACCATTGCTTATTTGCAAAATTATATTCTTCATTGACCCAGATATGTAGTTTTACTAGAATAATACCTGCATGAAAGTACAGCAATGCTCTTCATAATAACACCATGGACTGCTGATAGTCATACTAACTTCATAAATAGGCAAACTTAATAAAGCTGCAGCCCCTCAACTTCTCCCAGAGGAGTGACACGATTCCATCAAGCTGCTGCACCAATCCAATGCCAAATATCCAGTGACTGAAAAACATTAAGAATAAAGATGTGTTCTCTGCATTTGCTGCAATTCGGCTTTGAAATTTTATATTCTTGCGCAAACATATATATGGTAATGATGCTTGTTTATTTAAATTCATCATTTATTAACTGGCAAAACAGCAATAATCAATGCATTATAAGGCAGGTGCTAGATTTTTTCTAATTGTTCACATTTGGCCAAAGAATTCCCATGTTGCTTCATTATAATGATTGACAGGAGCTCCATTCTGTCGGATCCCTGAACTATATGGGAAACCCAAGAAAAATCATGACGCATACGCACATTAATGTTGGTTTGTCATTACACTTTCAACTGACTAATCAAGGATTTCGATGTTTAAGGGTCCAGTTCCAGTGGTAGAGCAGGTATGTGGACATACAAATGGTTTCATAATAAGCCAACCATTATAGGTACAAAATCTGAGAGAGCAGATTATGTTCTTATGTTCTAATGAAAAGAGAAAATTCGTAACCATGTATTTCAAGTTATAATAACTGGTCACCAAATGACTAAATACAAACTTTTATGTAAGTACAGGTTTTTTCATAATAAAATATAACTTGTTCAGTCTGTGAAGTAACAAAGTGTTGTTAAGATGCTTTCTTCCTTTCAGCAGCAAAGTTTAAATAATTTTTAAGTTTATGCAGACAGAGGTCAGCTTTACAGAACTGCAGCTTTATAAAGTGTATTTTAAAAAACAGGAATCAGATGGCAGAGCAGCTGATTTCCTTCTGTGGTTTGGGCTGCTGGCCAGAAGCTCTGCTTATTACCGTGAAGAGAAACTCTCTCTGTAGCTTAGAAAACCAAACTAAAAACAATGTTTTAAATATTTCTATACAAGGTGTTTTTGAAGAATTTTATGTCTTTAAAACAAAAATAAGAAATTACATCCATTTTAAAATTAAAATGCTTGGATAATATTTTTCTTGTCTGTGTGTTTTGGGTACATGGTTCATTGTTTTATATAGAACCTGTTTCTTCAAAATAAAAATCATACTGTGAAATGACGGTGTGTACTTACGATAACGTTTATAATTTATTCTGGAACTTTCACATGAATTCCCAATCCTGTCTCTGCAAATACTTCCAGCATGTCACTTTATTATCAGCAGGATTTACAAGTTTTGTGAGAAGCCAACTTCATTGGATGCATCCCCCCATAGATGGGAATGTTTCAATGGCTAAAAAAGCCAGATCTGTTGCATAACCCCATCTGCATGGCTGAAGTGAAAACACTGCACTGTATAATTTCAGCCCTAAAGTTTGGAGGTGGGATATCAAGACATCCAGCAACATCACTATAATCAACCTAATTGCTGACAGACTGTTAAAAGTGTTTTATAGTCAAAACATAAAAAAGAGTTACACTGATGAAACGTGTAAGTTGATTTAAACAAAAAATAGAAAAATTACATTTTAAACGGTTGCACCTTATTGTTGCTGAGTTAATAAAGCATTTGTAGCACATTGGGATAAATGCTTTTTAGATAAGTGAAATATTTAAAAATGTCAAGGCATGTCAGACTACATCAAAAGTGGCTGAGAGGCCTCAGACTTCAGAAGGTTAGAGGAAAAAAAAAAAAAACGACATTGGACATTACCAGGTCTGGATTTAAGCCTAAGAATCACAAAAATATGGTGGACTTCTGAGAGAAGGTCAATGAACAGGTTTAATAAGCTTCTTTACTTGCCATTCTGCAGGGAACAGTATGTTTTGCAAAGCCTATTTGGGTATTCTGGTATTTCTCTTACATAAGCAATCTGTAAAGGTATTAGCATTGTTTTCCCCATAAAAAAAACACTGTTCTTCACATACACATGAATAAACAAAGATATAGTCAATGAAAAAATTATCTAAGATATAACTATTCTCACAAACATAAAACCCAAAGATCAGTAGGAATGATTTGTCTGACAATTTACTTCACGGACAGTACAGCCAGAAGAGTTGTTGACACCTGAGCCACCAAACTATAAAGGAACTCTAATAAGCAGAAAAGAGAGAACACTTCAAATGGACTGACTTTGTTTTTTTTAATCTGTCAGATAACTTTGATTATGTAATAGCATGTCACCTATGACTCTTTTTATAACCTGATAACTGAGGAAGGCTGATGTGCAAGCAGATCTGTTTGGAACATGACAGGAACAACAGATTCAGACATTCAGCACTAAAATTCAAGTAGTTCATAAATACAAGCCAGGGGATTTAAGGTTATGTATCCTCTCCTGATTAAAACAGAGAAAAAGTCTTCAAACATGATAACCCTTCCCCACTCCCCAAAACCAAAGAGGTAAAATGACCCTGATGCTCTCATATTTAGACGAGTATTCCGATGAATAAAACAAGCAGATATTTCACCAGAGCCAGAACTCAAACTCATAATCCTTATATTAGGAACTTACTTGGAGAACCATGCACTGTAAAGACTAATACCATCTTCCCTATTAATCCATGTATTTTTTCATATCAAAGAAAGCTTAATTCTTGAAATGATTGAAACACAAAATCCAGAAACATCTATTCGTTTTCTATTTTGCTGGGTGGTACGGAGTCTATTCCAGTGCAAGGCAGAGAATGGCTCAGGATTAGATCTCTCTTATCTATAGATAAAAAAGTAACTTTTAGTGACCAAGGACTTTAACCTGTTAGCAATGGCTTCTCCACTGGCTCCCCTTAGGGTTACTCTCCAGCCTGCTGCCATTTTTTTCTGCCACATTCAAAGTTTCAGTCAAACTCCAGACAGAATCACTATTTTACCTGAAGCTGAAAAAGGTCCAGAATTAAAAAATTAAAAAAAATTACTCACAAAAAACTGTTTGGAAAACCCACAAAGCAGCATGTGGCTTCCAGGTGTTACAACTGACCACTGCATATGCTGAAGGAATTACAGGCATATGAATGCTCCAGAATCACTCTCATACATTCTCCCTAATCTCCAGAACACGGTTTCTCAACCTGAGGACCAGGTTGAAAGAAACTACCTTAGATGTCTCCAAAAATCACAGGTAGAAGAAATTTCATATTATAATCATATAAGAAAACTGGATAAAAAACAAGAAAGAAATCACAGGTCAATTATATGTGATCCCCAACTTCTACCCAAAAGACCACATTTATTGAGACAAGGCCATAGCTTGGAGTTACAGTGATCAGTCAGTCCAGCTGGTTCACGTCTCCTCTTCCAGGTATCGGGCCTAACGCAGTTCAGCGGCCCTCTGACTCTGCTACAGTCCAAACTAAATAAAAAGTGCTGAGCTTCTCCAGTTCAGCGCCAGCCTTCCAACAAGCAGCTAATGTTGTTTCCTCCTGAATGAACATCCTGCATCAAGGAAGAAGATATTTTTGGTTAATATACTGGTTGTCCCATAATAATATAAAGGGCTATTCTACTGTTTGCATGGCTTTTTACATAAAACTAAAGAAATTCCCTGACTTTTTGTTTCTTTGATAATGGCAGGACACAGTACACATAACTGCAACATTCCCTTCAGGTGTCAGAGAATGTACTCATATATAGTCACACAATCCATAGACTTTTTCAAATTACTTTACAGAAATCACAAAGATATCAGTCATAAGGTAAAAAATTATATAGTACAATTAGGGGAAAACATTTTTTAGGTTTATCATATGAAAATTATGAACATCTTGATAGTGGAGCCCTGCGTGAGCTTGAAATATTATCCTGAGCTGAGCCCATAACATTTAGATCTGACGGGAGGCCAAATATTAATTGAATTTCTCAACCCAAGCTCAACTTAAACCCAATGGCAACTTTTACAAAATGGATGGATAGATGTTGCTTAGACACTTTCACAGGAAATCATACAGTAAATCTATATTATTCCATTATAAACCTAAAATTAGGCACATTTAAAGTGTTGGGATAGTTTACAAACCGTACAGAATATCTACAAGGTAATAAAACTGTTACATACATGTAAATGCACGTGTAGACTTGTCTCGAATTGAAAATCTCATGCCAGCCAGCTGACAAAAGTTGGCAACCCTGTATTAAGTCAGATGATGTGGCTCAGTGACAAGGCTGACCTTCGTTTTAGCAGTAATTATTTTGACATACAGGAACAGTAAATTAAGCAAAATAATTTAAGTTAACTGAATGACAGACAGGCTAGGCTGCTCTGCAAGGCTTCTTTTAAGATATATTTGCATTGCAGTCGTTCTGTGGTGATATTTAAGTTGTTTTGCAATACTTGCAGATGACTACATTTTCATTCACTTTAATTGTTTTTAGTTGATGGTTTTTAGTAATTAAGTTTAATCAGGTAATCGTGACAGCTTTACATAATGAACATTGTATCAGTTGCAGTTCTTCATTGTTTATATTTTTGCAAAGATGAGGTCTTGCACGGTGGCTGGCTGGCTAAACGACAAACCTTTTTAACCATCTCAACAGAAAATACCCTAAAGAGTATGCTCTGTTTTTTCTTTTAGGTTTTGCTACCTTATATGACTATATTTTTTAAAAATAAGGGAATTACTTTGGTTGTACTGTTCTGTAACTTGTAAATAATAATAATTATAATAATAATTATTATTATTAAGTCTTAAAAACCAACATGAAAAAGAATCGTGATAACATTGTGAATCATGATCCTGCCAGAATAAAATTAATATTTAATATTTTTGACCTTACCAACCCCTACATGGGTTCACTATCTTGAAACACAATTGCAAGATTTCAAAAGAATGACTAGGTAATTACAAAGTCAAATTTCCCCACACTGTTCGGAGGTTAAAAGCTCTGCCCATGACAGACATTAGCTAGCTATAAGCACACTCCGACGCTTACGTAAGGTGAACTTCAGTCTTTCCTATTTACTTTTATGTTGTCTGCCTTAGTACAACGAATACAAAATAAAATCATGACTTTATAATGAACCTGACTCAAACACGACCGACATAAAACTGCCCCGAGCCCAATTCTGCTGGTGAGTTTAGGCCTCGACGCGCTTGCAAACGTGTACTTGACAGGGCTAGAGTTAACCTATGAAGGCCCTGATTAGCTGACAGATATCTGTAACTAGGATGGAATTGGCAGGTAAGTGCATTGACTGGAAGAAAGGGCAAAAATGGGCCCAAAAGGCTCCAGATTCAACTTATTTTTCTGTCCAGAAATGTCACCTTTGAATCATTTTTCACAAAAGTAAAGGATATTTCTTACCGACCTACACTACCAGTCAAAAGTTTTAGAACACCCCAATTTTCCCAGTTATTTATTGCAATTCAAGTCATTCAAGTCCAATGAATAGCTTGAAATGGTGAAGTGGTGAACTGCCAGAGGTTAAAAAAAGGTAAGGTTGCCCAAAACTGAAAAATAATGTACATTTCAGAATTATACAAAAAGGTCTTTTCAGGGAACACAAAATGGGTTAACAATCTAAAGCTGTTCTGCAGCAATAGAGGTTCATCAAGCCTTGAAAGCTGATTCTACTAATTCCCCACAGGTGTTCCAACTTTCCTGGATTACTTACAACCCCCTCTGTCTGCATAAAAGCAGTGTTGGAACACACTGTGGTACCATATCCTCATGAGCATCAGTTGAACAGTATTATACCTGCAGAAAGTAGTGTGTTGCTACAGAAATGGCAAGAAAAAGGCTAACAATGGAAGAGAGACAGACCATCATAAAACTTAAAAATGTAGTTCTTTCCTACAGAGAAACTGCAAAGACAGTCAAGGTGTCTGTGAGTACACTTTCCTTCACCATCAAAAGGCACTCAGAAACTGGGGTAAACTCTGACAGAAAGAGGTCTGGCAGACCCAAAGCCACAACTGCATCAGAGGACAAGTTTCTGAGAGTTAACAGCTTGCATGATAGGCGGCTCACAGGATCACAACTTCAAGCACAGCTTAATAGTGGTCGTAGTAAGCAAGTCTCAGTTTCAACTGTGAAGAGAAGACTTCGAGCTGCAGGTTTGACAGGATGAGTTGCAACAAGAAAGCCATTGCTAAGACGTCAGAATAAGACAAAGAGGCCTGCCTGGGCCATGAAACATCGCCATTGGACTACTGAAGACTGGAAGAAGGTATTATGGACTGATGAATCCAAATTTAAAATCTTCAGTTCATCACGCAGGATCTTTGTACGTTGTGGAGTAGGTGAAAGGATGGTTCCACAGTGTGTGACATCAACTGTCAAACATGGAGGAGGAAGTGTGATGGTCTGGGGCTGTTTTGCTGGATCCAGGGTCGGTGACTTGTACAGAGTGAGAGGCACCCTGAACTAAAACGGCTACCACAGCATTCTGCGCTGCATGAATGCAATACCCTCTGGTATGCGCCTAGTTGGTCAGGAGTTCATCCTACATCAAGATAATAACCCAAACCATAAGTCCAAGCTATGCCAGAACTACCTTAGGAAAAAAGAACAAGATGGTAAGCTTGAAAACATGGAATGACAAGCACAGTCTCCAGACTTAAACCCCATCGAGCTGGTTTGGGATGAACTGGACAGAGGAGTGAAAGCAAACCAACCTACAAGTGCCACACATTTATAGGAACTTCTGCAACAGATATGGGAAGAACTTTCTGAAGAATATTTTATTTCTTTTGTAGAAAGAATGCGACGAGTGTGTTCAGCTGTTATATTTGCCAAAGGTGGCTACTTTAATGAGACAAAAGTTTAGAATACATTTTGGTCTATAAATTGATTCCTTGATTTCTTTCTTAACTCCAATTGCTTATTTGTACTATGCTTTAATTTCAGAGTGCAAATGAGACATTAAACTGCATAAATAAAAAAATGGGGTGTTCTAAAACTTTTGACTGGTAGTGTATGTCTTGTCATTATTTACAGTAGAACCTTGGAACTCGAACACCTCTTCACTCAACCAACACGGACAGGTCTGTTGAATTTTTTTACTTGTACCTCAACCTAAATCTTGGAACTTGACCGTTCCTGCTAAAATTTGTATGGGTTGAATTTGGACCTGGAATGGGTTGGTCGAGGAAAAATATAACCACAACTTGACTGAACTTGGAACACGACAAAACAAAATAGACCTGCTAAAACTTGTACAGCTCGAGATGCATCTCTGATGGGCTGAAACAAAGGCGAACGACCTACTGGGATGATGATGCCTATGAATCGCTCTCAGTTTCGTAGTGCCTCTCGACCAAGTTCGATGTGAGAATCTTTTTTGTGCTTTACCTACAGTACACTTAGTGCTACAGTAATCATGGTCCCTAAGAAAGAGGGCAGTGATAGCAGCAAACCAAAGAGAAAAGTAGTGAGAGTAACTGTAGAACTTAAAAAGGAAATTATAGCGAGACTTGCACGCATTTTATGTTCTTGCTTAGGAATAGGGAATTGTCATTTATTTCATGTTTATTTCTTTCGTATGTGTGCTTTTTCATGTGTGTATTAGTTTTACATTGCTTTTTTATCATTAGCTAGGTAGGTTAGGTAAGTTTAGGCATTATTTTGGGAGTCAATGGATGAAATTAATTTACATTATTTCTGATGGGGAAATTCAACTCAATCAAATTGCAACTCAAACAGCTTTCTGGAACAAATTAAGTTCATGTTCCAAGGTACCACTGTATTTCAAAAACCACATTGAAATGACCAATTTTTCAGCATTTTCCAGCTAAAATGATTGTCAATTTCACCCTCAATAATAAATTTTAATGCTGCAGAAATATCCAACCTTTATAGCATCAGAGAAAGCATTGAAAGACAACAGGCTCTTAGTGTACACAAAGGATTCATGGACTAACCTTCAGTGAGGCGTGCCTTCCCTCCTGTGGGCTGACAGAGCACTGTGGAGCAGCCCACACACAGCACAACAGTCTGCGCGTGGCTGAACACTGTGGTGATCTTGTAGCACCCTAGGACACAGATCACCAATAAGCACTGCTTACTTCACCAAGAAACAGGCAAAGTTCATTCTGGGAAAGTCTTACCACACTGCAGCCTGTCCATGAGAAGTTGCCCTATCCTCTTACAGATATGCTTACTATGCATATCTGTGAGATATGCTTAAGATCACTACATATGGGTGATTCCTGTTTTGGGCCACATATTCATGTCCTCGTGTTTAACTGGCTCTTATTCTTTTATAAAAATTAGACAAATCTTCATAACAAACATTTTATTATGTGTTTAGGTGTTTTCTATTGCTCTAACAAAGATAAATTATTATTTATTATCTTTTTACATCTCTTTAAAGCACCATTTCTCTGGAATATGCACTAATTTTAGCATGTCCCAAATGCAATGTATTCAACTTCCTCAGTAAATATAAACTATAAAATTATAAAAACCAAAACTTATTCTTTATTATTTTGATAGACTAGGGTATACTACCTTTAGAGAAAGGAATAAATCTGGTGAAACTTATTTTGTTTTCTGTAATTATATAATATATTATATGTCCCCACATTCGTTTTCCACCCTGTGAGCCCCTAGTTTCTTGGCTCCCTAAAAAGATTACAAATCCATACAGCCATTTCCACAAAGTGACATCATTTGTTTTTGGGGGGAAATTCAACTGGAAGACTAACGTAAGCTTTAACTGTCACTCTCTCCTGTATTTTTCTCAATTATATATTACACACCGGTTTGAGGCACCCTTAAAGTTCCACCCTGTTAGTATATATTATGGGAAATATTTATTGGAAAAAATATTTTTTAAAACATGCTAAAAATAGCTATTTAAATGCTGATCAGCTGTAGAGTATGTGCCCGCTAAATGTTGCTCACTCAAAGAGCTAGAGCTAAATTAGCTAGAAATAATCCACCCTGTTAGGTTCCACCCTGTTAGGCTATGTATGGGATATGCAGCCTACTGAGTAGAAATTGTACAAGAATATTTATTATTTTCATTAAAATGACTTTTTATTATTTGAGTGTATTTCTTGTGTATGATAATGAATAATAATGGTATAATCAAAAAGTATTATTATTTTATGAGTGTATTTCTTAATTATTTATGTTACTACAGTGGTATTATTATTATTATTACTATTATTATTAGTTGTAGTAGTAGTATTGTTGTTGTGAATCTGAATCTACTTGTTAAGAGACCTACTCGGTTCCACCCTGTTATATTCTATTCCACCCTGTTAGGCAAAGATTTTTAAAAAATATTCCAATAACAACAGTAAGTGTTTGGTATATTTGTATATTGTTTTGTTAAATGAGGTACATATAATGCATCTACATATACTTTTATTTCTAATTAATAAAATTCCTCATACAAGACAACAAAATGGGGACAAAAAAAATATACAGATTCCATTATTCTGACATTTTACTCTTCATAAAATTAAAACTGTTAATGCTACAAGAATGAAACTTTTATCATAGCAAAAGGGACACATTGTATCCCAGAAAAGTTCAGTATTCAGTATTATTTGTACTGAATGTATACTTGTACATTATTTAAACTCTGTGATTACCATGTACATGTCCCTAACAGGGTGGAAAACATCTGGAGAAATATATACAAAAAACATCCCATAATTATAATATTTTCAACCCCCGAGCTTGGCAAACATGCATTCCTCATAGCTAAGTATGGTATAGTCCTGACAAAATGTTTAAACCATAAAATACAATCATTCCAATTTTCAGAAAACAGACAGCCAAATATGTGGTCCAAAACAGGAATCACCCATATATACATAAGCTTTGAGAATCAGGAGCCAAACCTGGACACTTCACATCCATGAAGTAAGAGTTAGGGCTTTGCACAAGCCTCTTCTTCTTGTGTCTCCTCTTCTCCTCCTCAGGGGATGGGTGCAAGAGATCTTTAGCGAGCTGACAGGAACAGAGAGCATAGTTTCAAGGTTGCTCTCAAGAAGTAGTCTAACCAGCCGCATGTTTTTGTTTGACACACGGATGACATTCTCACTGAACTGGCATAAAATTAATCGGTAATCAGTTTACGAAGACATTAAAGTATAAACAAACTGAAATACACGACACTGCCTGAGCCGCATTACAAGACTGAATGTTCATAGGAATTAAAAACAGTAAAATTAAAGCAAGTCGTTACAATAAAGCGTAAGTTAATTTTAAATACAACCATAGATAACAGACCTTCACACTAGCGTACCTGACTGACTTTAGCCACTCTGATCGATCTAACCGAAAGAGCGCATGACTTGCCTGACTTCAGTATTCCAATTCACCTGTGGTGTCTATTTAAGTATTTCCTCATTTACGAAAACACACACGATCATGCCGCTTTGTGATAGTTGCCTGCACGTCGCCATTTTGTCTTGGACCCACGCTCATTATAACACGCGCTCCATCTACGCACACTTTCCGTGTAATTTCATACACCCAGATTCATATTCCAGCGAAACGCGCCCATTTCCTTGCATTTCCTGAAAACGGTCACTTAATTACACGCAAACAACTCCTACAAATTTATCTGGCTGATTTAATGTGGGCTCTCACACTCACAGGCATGCTCGCCACTCCGTGACTCTTCCAAGTAGGAAGCAGGTCCACGCGTAACTGCAGGAAGTACTCATAAAGTGACCTGGTTGTTTTTATTTAAACTAGTCCGATCTATTACGGGTAAATATTAACTACAATAAAATTAAGATAAATATGCATTTAATGATAGGCATGGCATCTGCTTCTGATTGATCAATACTACCCAAACCGGGCACTGGAGCGAACTAAAGAAAAATGTTCAAACTAAAGTACATGTGCATCCAGTTCTGGTACAATGATGTACACGCCATACGTCCATGGCTGTTATTCTGTTATACTTTTCTTAAGTGTGTTGACGGGTACAATTCGAAATTGGGCTTGTAAAACCATGTTTTCACTCTACTTGAGCATTGCAAGCAATGAGACCTGGGAATGGGAAGCAGTCACCAAAAATACTAGAACTTACTAATGGCCAACTGTTTTAAACACTTCTGTTGCATTAAGTTTTTGTAGTTTTACCTAAGGAAAGAAGAAGTTGCCCATATGCTCCTGAAATCCAAGGGAAAACGGTTTTTAATGTAGATGTTTTTTTTTTTTTTGCGTAAATAAAGACTTGGAATGGTAAATAGCACACCTCACACACGTGACATATCTTAAAGGTCTAACTTTCCTCTTTAAGAAACAATTTAGAGGACAGAAACTTGACACATGGGTCGTTCTCTATATGGGATTTGGGAATGGGAATTGAAATTAATACATATTGAAATGAATGATAGAAAATTAATTTCATTAAACATAAAAGAAACCAACCTAATATGTCTATGATCATGGCCTGTCAGCATACACTCAAAATTTAAGAGTTCAGTTCCAAACATATTGTTAATGCAAAAGGCAAAGTTTTGGTCAGGTTGTCACTGGTGTTATCACAAGATGAGACATTCATTTTGTCATAATTGTTTTCATTTTCAGTGTATGTTTCAATGTGTCTGTATTTAATGAAGAGATTCCTTTTAAATGATCATGCTACCAGTGATATTTTATAAACATATATTGCAAAAATATAGGGGGTCTGTTATCCATTTTTAAGGTATATACTTGACAAAAAAAATAATACGTTCTACAACCCCGATTCCAAAAAAGTTGGGACGGGGGCTAGAAAAGTTAGTGGTACAAAAACCCAACAGCTGGAGGAACAATTTGCAAATAATTAGGTGAATTGGCAACAGGTTAGTAACATGACTGGGTATAAAAATAGCATCTTAGAGTTGCAGTGTCTTTCGGAAGTAAAGATGGGCAGAGGATCACCAATCCCCTTAATACTGCATCGACAAATAGTGGAGCAATTTCAGGAAAAATGTTCCTCGGTGTAAAATTGCAAAGAGGTTGAAAATATCATCATCTACATTACATAATATAATCAAAAGATTCAGAGAATCTGGAAAAATCTCTGTGTGTAAGGGACAAGTATTCTGGATGCCCAAGATCTTCGGGCCCTTAGGCAGCACTGCCTCACAAATAGGCACGATTCTGCAATAGAAATCACTAAATGGGCTCAGAAATATTTCCAGAAAACATTATCAGTGAACACAATTCGCCGTGCCATCCAAAGATGCCAGTTAAAACTATATAATTCAAAGAAGAAGCTGTATTTGAACATGATCCAGAAGCGCTGACGTCTTTTCTGGGCCAAAGCTAATTTAAAATGGACTGTGGCTAAGTGGAAAACTGTTCTGTGGTCTAAATTTGAAATTCTTTTTGGAAACCAAGGATGCCATATCATCCAAACTAAAGAGGAGAAAGACCACCCAGCGTGTTATCAGCGCTCAATTCAAAAGCCAGCATCTCTGATGTACTGTATGGGGGTGCATTAGTACATATGGCATGGGCAGCTTGCATATCTGGAAAGGCACCATCAATGCTGAAAGGTATATCCAGGTTCTAGAGAAACATATGCTGCCATCCATACGACATCTCTTTCAGGGAAGGCCTTCCATTTTCCAACATGACAATGCCAAACCACACACTGCCACAATTACCACATAATGGATTCTTAGAAGAAGGGTCCAGGTACTGAACTGGCCTGCCAGTGGTCCAGATCTTTCACTCATTGAGAACATTTGGCGCATCATAAAACGAAAATGACGACATTGAAGATCTAGGGCAGTTGAGCAACTAGAATCCTGTATCTGACAAGAATGGGACAACATTCCTCTCCCAAAACTCGAGCAACTGATCTCCTCAGTCCCCAGAC